ATAGCTTTAACACAGAGGGTCCCTGACCCAAAACGCATAGAATACCGATCCCAGATCTCCCACAACAAACCCTGTTTGTCAAATATTCTAGCGACTACAACTAGTTATAGCTTTCACATGGTCCGAGACCAGCTTTTAATAAAAAACCTTAGGCGTACCGTTTCTGTGCAGATCAGTCCTCAGCTTGAGTCGTCACCAGGATGTCCAGGGCAGGGCTGGACCAACCTATTGGCTCCATCCGGCAAAGGGTGGACGGCTGTCGTCAGTTTCTTGGCCTTGGTCCCGCACGGTCCTGGACAATTGGATCTTGACTCCCGGAGTTTCGGCACCAAAAATGTTGGGTTTTTAATCCAGAGTAATGTGAGTTTAAAAGATTAAAAGGAAAATGATCAACACAGAGACAGGGTTTTGTGACGTCAGTGTGTGCCAGGTGGAGAGAAGATTCTGGCTTGGAAAGCCATCACCTTCTCCCACAGATCCCTTCATGGCAAAGCCTTTTATTAACAGTTTACAACATCAAACAGGCGGGCCTAAAACAGAAGAGCCAGTAATCATTGTCTGGGAGGATGCAGGTAACAAGATAGTGTGAATTGACCAACTGGCTGGATGGAAGTCACACATCCGTGTGATTCTGCCTCATGACCTACAGGAGGTCATAAAAGTTTATGACCCTTCTGGTTGAAACACAGGATAGTTATCACTCTAACAGTATAAGTAACAATACTTTACTCAATTACTACTGTTGAGCACTTAATCCACAACTGGACATATGCAGTGGAGATTATTTTACTCCAAAGATCTGAATGGGTGTGTACACTGGAAAAAACTATCTAGAAATTAGTCAACATTTCTTAAATTAAGTGTATTTACCTTCATTTGAGCAGGTAAATAAGAGGATTTTCCAATGGAATGAGATTTATTTACTCTCAAAATAAGATAATTAGATAATATACACTTTAAATAAGACAATGCAATTTTTTTTTCTTTTGTATGTAAATGATCTTATTCTGTTGGCAAAGTATCTCACTTACCTCCTCAAATTAAGAAAAAATGACTTTTCTAGATTTCGATGTATTTCCAGTGTACATGGCTGCAAAATGGATTGGAAAAAAAACCAACTCTCCTTCGGATTGAAATTTCTTTCTAAATTCAGATTTATTGTCAAATATTTCAGTAGAAAACCTTAGAAAGCGGCCAGTGAGCTTTAGAACTCGCTCCTTTGCCTTATTAAATGCAGCTTTGACTGAACTCACCTTTAGGTCAGGATGGAACTGTAATAATGCAGAAAAACAGGCTTTGCTAATTAGCTGGTGCAATTAGCCACTTTTTCCTAATTCTTCTCACGCACGCACGTGTGCGTGCGCACGCGCATCCGCTGCCATGGAAACGGAGGCCTCTGAACGTCGGCGCCATCTTTAACCGTTACTTTCTAAACTTGACCTGGACGCTTGACTTGCTGCAGTCTGTGGTTTTTACTAACCTGCCAAAGATGTGCTTCACACCGATGATGAACAGGTTGCAGGATCGGCTGGAAGGTTAATGTCACTATTTTACTATGCTAATTCAAAAAATTTTACTTGATTAAATGATTATTTTGAAGTTTTTCCATCAAGTTGTGAAGGCTAGCTTAGCATCTAGCATCTTTGACATCTCAGAGATTAAATGTGTTTTTAGTCGACTGAATTTGTCAGGAATGTTAACAGCCATTTAATTATTTGGAAAAAAAAATTTTTTATTTCAGAGAAACACCTTTGTTGAATTTTATGTGAAATGTTTGAAAACTAGATTAAGCTAGGTCGGTTATAAAAAAAAAAATGCCCTGAAAATGTGTTAGCTCTATATGGAAATGTTGGTGAAAATACATTAAATAAAGAAATTAAACAAAGAGACATTTGAAGGACATTTAACATAATATATCATCAAGCCAAACTGTTTATTTTCCTATTTAATAAAAAGTAGTGTTTTGAAAGTTGACTGAATTTTAGCTGAAAAAAAAGAAGAGATGAAGATTTTCAAGTTGTTTAGTTTAGTAAATGTGTTTAGGAAATGATGCGTTTTTAACCAGTGTTTTTTATACCAAAAAGTTTTTTAAGGGGTATTATGTATTAAATAGATTTTCATTGATCGGAAATGGGAGGAATGAGAACAGATGTAATGATGTAAAACAGAAACAAGTTTGGTTTGAGAGAATAATCTATGGTGACTTTAATGTGGAAATGGATAAAAAAATAGAAAATAAGTTATTTTAGGATAAAATGGATTCATTGAATGTATTGGAATTTGAAAAGGAAGGCCTTTTTTAAAATATGCTGTAGTAAACATATTGGTCTCCATGGATACCTTTGTTGAATGCATTAAACCACTTTAGGACTTTTTCAGGTTGCACAAGGTGATTTTGAAATCATGTTTTTAAAGGCAACTACTAAGCAACAAACTAAAACTATTAATTTTAATAAAACCATAAACATTATAATTTGTTTGTTTTTAGCTTTTGTTTCCTAAAACAAAAATTAGGTCCTTTTCATTTTTTGGCTGTAACATGTTTAGAAATTGACTGAGTTTATAATAAGGATAAAGAAATAAAAAATGTTTAATTAAGAGTTCAGAAAGAAGGATGATATGTTTATTTTACAGTGAGGAGGTAAGAATTAAAACATGAGTTTAGAACAATATATTATTTAAAGGTTTTCCTGCAGCCCTTGTTTGGATCTTCTTCAGGTGAAAGTAAATCATTTAATCTCATCTGTCATCAGTAATAATAGTTTGTTCATAGAGGACTCGATCATTTGCTAAACATTTAACACTGGATGGTTTCTTCTGAACCATGAAATGTTCTGTATAGGATCCCCTTTCTTTTAGAAAAAGAAAAATGTTCTAAATAGTTTGGCATTAAGTTTGCTAATGTCCATTTCTGCTCTGAGCTTTCTGTGTGTGTTAATTAAGGTCTTTATTTCTACTCTAGGATGGACTGAGGAAGGGTCTGATAAGCTGAGAATCTGATTCTGAGAAATTAGAGATCTGAACTTTTGATGTTATTAAGCCTTTATTTCTGTTAATAAGGATAATTTTCTGCTTAGAGTAAATTAACTTCAAAGATTTATGATTATATTATCAAGTCAGCCAATGAAACTTTTTTCTGGTAAAGAGATATATCTAATAGTTCAAAACTATTTCTAATTTGGTAGTCTGTGTTTAATGAAAAACGTTTTTTACTTACAGCTTCAAATGTTCTTTAATCTGAACTAATCTAAATGTCTGTAGCTCCCAACGGAGGATGTGTGCCCCCTAGTGGGAGCACAGTTTAATAGCAGGGGACAGGGCAACACAATCATATACACACATATATACATATATATTAATATTTTTTATTTTAACACTAATCAAACCGTTAGCATTGTTTATATGTCTTATTGATTAGATCTACTTAACCTGAAAAACTCACACAGGCACATCCAGCAACCTAAAATAAAGCATTTAGTTTTTTCATTTAATTTTCCTTAATTATTGTTCCTGGTCTAATGTTTTTTTTCCCCTCACAGTTCTAGACGTTGTGCTTCCAGCTGATCCTGACCCGGAGCCCTGGTTCTGGATAGAGGATCAAGGTGATGAATATGTTTTTCATATTGTCACAGAACCGTTCCTCGGTTACAATGAGGAGATAGAAGTAGAAGAAATAGGGGTTGACTATAAGGAGGTAGAAGTGGAAGGATTAGTGGTGGACGAGTATGAGCAGGTGGAGATGTGGTCTTTTGAGGGGGAAGATGATGATTTTGATGAAGTCAGGTCTTTTTCTGGTGAAGACGATGACCACCTTCCCCCACATCTTCGGTTCACCCAGAGGATTCCCCCCCGACTTCAGACTCCCGTTGAACCGAGAAGAGCCAGAAGAGTCCCTAGAGTGCCAAGAAGACGGCGTCTCCAGGAGGAGGAGAAGAGAGGAAGACGATGAAGAGGAGCTCCCCTGGAAGAGGCTTTGTCGTGACAGGGATGTTTAAGAAGAGGAATTCTGGCAGGATCTGGCAGGTCTAGGGATGCCTTAGGTAGCGTCTTGCACCGTGGCTTTTATTGACCCCGCTGCTAGATTTTGATTTAAGTTTTAGATGTTAGAAATTTCGTTTAGCACTGACATCTGATCAGGCACTGAGGACATGACAACCATTTAAAAAAGGTGTGGAACATGAGAGCTGGCTAAGGCAGACATAATCTAGCATGCTCTACATCTTATGTCAGAGCTGGACAGTCTGCCAGCTAACAGAAGGCAACACAAACAAAGGATTGATAAAAGAACCAGATTTGAAAAGAAGAAACACAGCATGGAGGCAAATGAACAAAAAATAAAAACACCAAAAGACAAAAAATGAATCCTGGTTGAAAACAGATGAACCACAAGGAGGCAAACCAATCCAAGGAGCAGCTGGACATCACTGCTGAGGACAACGCAGGAGGTCAAAGAAAAATCTTAAAGGTCTAAAAATGGAGTTGAGGTCACCTAAAGTCTATAGGCAGAGGGCCAAGGCTGTAGTGGAGACAGATTATCTAGAGTAGGACGATGCTGCTGGGGACAAACTGGATCTAGAATGGAACAGTGGCACAGCTTGTGGTGGTCATCAGTGGAACTGGTCTCTGGGATGTTGGTGAGAAGGTAAAGAGACGATGCTTGGAGGGACAAACTGATTTCAGAGCAGTTTGAGACAGAGGACAGGACTGAGGTAGGGATTTGGGTTGTGAGAGGAGCCGACTGTTAGAAACAGCTTTCAGATGCGACTTGGTCTACTTCTAGATGTTCCTCTGGTCAGTTAGTTTTCAGGCCTACTTTGAGGGAAAAGAATCCTCTGCAGAAATATTCTCCATATGATCTAGGCCTGTTCTGACCGCAGTGGATCTCTTCTGTGTTTTTTGAATCCCATGTTGGACCGAGCCTCTCCAAGCTTTGGGCCATCAGAAGATGCTGATGAGATCTGCAGCGACCAAACCAGAGGAGGATCATCTGGGCTGCTGACTTTACAAAGAGTGAGAGCATGTTCAGTAAGGAGCAACAATAATCCATCTTTTAAATAGAAAGTTAACATTTCAGGTGGCCTCACTTAGTTTTTCATGTATGTTCAGACACTGTGGACGTCCAAAAGCAGAACTTCTGTGAGGAACCGGGACATCCAGGATGGTGAGGAGCTTCCCAGTCCCCACCTGAGGACGGCACAGAGAAAGACTGAAACAGAAAACACATGGAGTAAGACTTTATGAACACCACAAACCGACAACTCAAGCTTCCCAGGCCTGATTAAAAGCTAACAGTCACTGAAACACAGAAAGACCAAGATTATGATGAAAACAACATCCTGCCCAGATTTAAACTTGGTTTCCAGGAAATTCATTTGTCTTCTTTTTGCAGGGAAAGCAGGTTGAAGATGGAAGCAGTTTTCTAGCAGCCGGATCACATTGGAACAGAGTCCATCCACACGTGTTTGGAGGTATGTTGGTTGTTATCTGACTAGAGAGGCATCACATGCAGACAGTTTCAGACTCTGAGGACGCTTTGCTTTCATTGATGAAGGAGCTGAAGAAGAGGACGGAGCACAGAGACCGCTAAGGAGGAGAAACATGGCTCCTCTATTTCTCTCCAACATGCTGGAGTCCTGGACTGAAAAACGTTGACGACCCTGCAGCTAAACCATCAGTCTGCTCCACCCAGTAAGAGAAGATAACGAACCTTTATTGCTTCCAGATGTTCATCAGTATTGGTGGAGATATTAAAAACAGATCCAGAACAAACAGATTTAGAAGATACAACCATCCCATCAAGGTGGTCTAACCTTTAATCTTTATCTTTCATCATTAATTGTTCACCTTCGTTTGAATCTCTGTAACCAAACCTTTACCAGAACCAGAAGTTCTGACTTTTCCATTAGACCACAGATAAAGAGTTAGGAAGCAGCTTCTGATCCAATATGGGAGAATTTCCCCCTGGTTGATCTCTGAAGGGTTTTTTAGAACTTTTTAAAGCAGAGAAACGACCGACTGAAGACTTGCAGCATTTTCAGGCATTTTCTCCAAGCATCCATTCTCTACAGTTATGGCTTCTGTTAACTTTAGCTTCTCCCTCTTCTCTTGGTCAAAGTTACACCTCTCCCAGTGTTCATGTGTTTAAATGTCACAGACTAGCGTGTTCGTTCACTAACTCCTGTTCTTCTTTTCCAGATAAGGTCATCTGCTCCTTGGACCGGCGCCTCTGTGTCTGTTGGACGTCTGCTGTCCTGTTAAAGACCCGCTGGGCCGCAGTAGATGGGCGCTGACATGGAGCTGCTGGAGGTTCCTTCCTGCTTAAAGCTGCTTTTCCTCTCTACTGTCACCACTTCACTGCTCAGGAGGAAGGACTGCTGTAAAATTAACGACTGGATGTGATTGGCTGAGCTTCCTCGGGTTGAAGACATTTCTCTAAACGCCATAATAAGCTGAATTTATTTTTACCATGTTTTAAATAGGATTGGGCTGGACTGCATGTTTGTGTTTCTAATTGATTCTGTGTTTCTGCTGTTTTCTGTTACATGTTTTTGTATTAAAGTTGTCATGTAAATTGCCTTCAGATGACATTTGCTGGGACTTGTTTCTATTTTACAAGACTGGATTATAATAAATTCCCCTACTGGGTCTGTTTCTGTTGAAGGATGCTTCCTGTCGTTCTATCTTCACATGTTATTTCTCACTATAATAAAGGTTTGATTGAAGTCATGTGAACAGGATCTTTTTGTCTTTATTTGTAAAGTGTCTTGAAATAAGTGGTTGTAAATTGGTTCTTTATAAATAAACAAAAGTGAAGTCAACTGGAGCAAGAGTTTAATATTACTATAGTACAGCTCTTTGGCAGATAGGTGGTTATTATTGTTTCTCTGTTGGGGGGTCTGACCTGACAACATGTTAATAGAACAATTGTTCTTGTCACCTTGCAGGGTCGGAACTAATTAGCTCTACAAAAGGACAGTGAGACGTTCCTCCTGCAGTTCTTCTGATTTTAATGACCTTATAGACAATCTGGGAGTTAAGCAGCAAAGCAGACAGGACACATCAACACTAAGCCTTACAAAGAACAACAAACAGAAATGGGAGGATAATTAAAGATGAATGTTAAAATAAAACTAAAGGAAGATAGTAGGAACTAAATGTTAAATGAACCCAAAGGCAAACAGCTTTGCTCAATTCAAACAAAACTTTGTCCAACGGTGATTTTTCCTTCTTTAAACTATACATACTTGGTCCCTCAGGGTTGCATAGCTCACTCCTTTTAACAGACACCATCTAGTTAATGTTTCAGACTCTATATTCTATCAGAGGAAAAGGGGGTAAAGGATTTAAATGGATTGATGATCCTACACTTATATTAAAACTGGTTTTAGAAAAGATAAAAATTGAGTCAAATCAGTCTCAAAAAGATCTACATGTGTACAACAAGATATATAAATGTGCATCTCAATTTACTAATGTGTATCACACAAAGCTGAAATGTGTACCTTGACATTTACAATTCATGCATGTGCAGTGTAATATTACTCGAATATTATGAATGGTGCGAATTTGAGAAACTGTTAACACATTTTCATACTATATATAATTAGGGGGTCCCTGCTCCATCTCACCATCAGTTTGGGGGTCCTTGGCCTGGAAAACCTTGAAGACCCCTGTTTTAGAGGCTATCCCAGCAAATACCAAGGGTGTGTATGGAAAACTCTGAATGTGAAGAACAGACTCATTTTCTGACATTCAGGCTCAACTAAAAAATGTCTGACTTGAAGTCAGATTTATGAAAAATATTTTTTGAATATAATACAGCCTACCTCTTTTGAATATTAATGTTTTTATCTGCATGCAAATAAATGTAATTGCGTTTCTTCAGTTATTATAATATATCATATAATTTGCCATGTCAATCCAACACTTCTGTTTCTCGTGGTCAGTTATGGAAGTAGCCTACTGCAGAACAAATAAAACTAACAGCCAAAAAACAGCTATCAGTCTTTTTTAAAAGGCATGTAATGATGCTTATAAATTTCAGGTGAAAATGCTGTGTTAGTAAAGTAAAATCCTCCTGACAAAAACTAGGACTGTTGCATGGACAAACCAGTGAAGGTCAGTAAGTAAAAGATGTGATTATCCATCCATCCATTTTCTGTCACTCTTATCCCAAGCTGGGTCCTGGTGCCTATCTCCAGCTGTCTAAAAACTCCTCTCCTAGAGTGATTTTTATTTGTTCTATTTTTTTTCACGGTACCAGTGGCTCATTTTTAATTCAATTCAATTCAGTTTATTTCTATAGCGCCAAATTCACAACACATGTCATCTCAAGGCACTTTACAGTTCAACCAGATCATACAGTCAAATTGATACAAAGTTTTCTATCTAAGGAAAACCAGTTGATTGCATTGACTCAAATACAATCCCCCACACTAAGCATGCTTGTAGCGACAGTGGAGAGGAAAAACTCCCTTTTAACAGGAAGAAACCTCCAGCAGAACCAGGCTCAGTGTGAGCGGCCATCTGCCGAGGCCGACTGGGGTTCAAGGAGACAGAAGCAGAGATACAAAAAGCAGCTGTAAAAGGCGGCCCCATCCAGGAAACACACAGCCAGGCAGACAAGCTCCAAGGCAGCTCCCATGCCAAAGGACGAAGAGAGCACATCCACTCAGTCACGGTCAGAGAAACAGGACCACACTGGAAAACAGGCCGATCTCCAACATCTATAAACAAGGGTGTTGATGGAAGCAGCACAGCTGATGTTTCTTTCCAGGATGACGTCACAGCCAAACAGGAACAGACGAGGCAAAGCTACTCTGAGGAAAAGCAGAGAGAACAGAAGGTTAGAGATTGAACTAACAGATTCTGCAGAATAGGAGAACAGAGAGAGAATGAAGCAGAATGATGAAATGGGGGTCCCTATGTCCTCCAAAAGTCTAAGCCTATAGCAGCATAACTATAGAGATAGCTCAGGATAACCTGAGCCACCCTAACTATAAGCTTTATCAAAAAGGAAAGTTTTAAGTCTAGCCTTAAAAGTAGACAGAGTGTCTGCCTCACTGACTAAAACTGGTAGTTGGTTCCACAGGAGAGGAGCCTGATAACTAAAAGATCTGCCTCCCATTCTACTTTTAGAAATTCTAGGAACCACTAGTAAACCTGCAGATTGAGAGCGAAGTGCTCTGTTAGGAACATAATAGTACCCAAAGCAAGACTGGTTGCAAGAGGCTTTGAAGAAATTAACATTCAAGAACTTCCTAAGGATTCACCCACTTGTTCCTCTGAATCTCTAAAGATGGTTATAGCTGTTATATGCCAAAATAAATGGAAGCTGAACTCTATGGACATCAAAGCAGCCTTTTTGCAAGGTAAAGATTTAACACGGGATGTGTATCTCCGTCCGCCTCAAGAGGCAGAGAGCGAAGGAATCGTATGGAAATTAAATAAATGTGTCTATGGCTTGGCAGATGCTTCCTTGTTCTGGTACAACAAGGTGAAAGAAACCATGCAGAAGCTGGGAGGAACTGTGTCAAAAGTTGATCCAGCTGTCTTCTACTGGCAAGATGATTTCTGTAAGGTGACAGGAGTTCTTGCATGCCATGTAGATGACTTTGTATGGGGTGGTTCAGACATGTTTTCTTCAGCTATTATCCCCCAACTGAAAACTGCTTTTCAAGTTGGAAGAGAAGAACATAACAGCTTCAACTACATTGGAATGGAGGTTCATTCTCTGCAGAATGAAATCAGAGTACAACAGCGTGCATACATTAAAAACCTACAGCCCATTCCTATGGATCCCATCAGAGCACCACAGCGGGAGGCTCCATTAACAGACACAGAAATGGACATGTTAAAATCCAAGATTGGACAGATTCTGTGGGTAGCAAGACAGAGCAGACCTGACATCATGTGTGACATATCTATCTTGGCGTCAAACACAAAACATGGTACAATTCAAACATTACCCTCTGCAAACAAACTGATCAGAAAACTTAAATCTGAGGAAGTTACCCTTAGATTCCAATGCTTGGGAGACAGCAAATACCACAAGCTAGTGGTGTTCAGCGATTCCTCAATGGGAAATCTCTCAGATGGAGGGACACAAGGAGGACATTTTGTCATGCTGATGGGAGAAGATGGAAAATTTTCACCCATATGCTGGCAATCCAGACGGATTAGGAGAGTGGTACGTAGCACGTTAGCTGGAGAGACTTTGGCACTAGCAGATGGAATTGATAGTGCTGTCTTTCTTGCTACACTCTATTCAGAGCTCATGGTTCGTGATGGCACGCGCAACATCTTACCCATTACCTGTGTAACGGACAACCATTCCCTCCTTGATGCTGTCAAATCCACAAAATGTGTAACTGAAAAGAGACTCCGGCTTGAGATCAGCAGCATCAAAGAACTTATGGGTTCTGGGACAATCCAGGAAATCATATGGACACCTACCAAAGACCAACTTGCCAACTGCCTAACAAAAGTGGGGGCGTCTGCCCTTGGACTGCTGAGAGCCCTAAGTGAAGGGAAATGGCAACTTAAAGATTAAAACAAACAAAAAGACTATTGTTCCTTACATAAGTTAAGTTCAAGTAAATGGAGTCAAAATAAGTAAAGTTAGAATGCTAAAATTTCTTTAGCCTGTTATGTGTTCTTTAAAGAAAGAGGGGAGATTGTTAAGTTGTAAGTAGCAGACTGTGCATGTATGAGATGTAAGGAATGGGAGGCGGGGCTAGATCTGTGTTTCCTTCTTCATGGAGTTGAGTGATGAGCGCAGGAGCGCATGTTGTAAACTGTTAATGGCGACCATTAAAGTGTGGATATTAACGTCAGCAGTGTGATTATTGAGCCAACACAGTTACCCAATCGCCTGGCTGCTCAGGCACTTTTGGAGAACAGCTACGTGGGGGGCCTACTTTAACTCCTGGATGTTCAACAGCCTGAAGCCTGGATTCTAACTCTGACACTAGGGATGGGCGATATGTTATCGTGTGCGATATATCGTCAAAGAAATTCCTCATGGTAACAATTTGTCATCTCGCAATAAAAACGATAAACTCCCGCCGGTGACGTGTACTGGGCGTGACACACCTGCAGTCCAACCCACGTGCGATCCATGCGCAAACAACAAACATGGCGGAAGGTGGAGGAGAAGTGCCGCAAGACCTGGTTCCTAAAAGAGGCTCCAGCTCCGTTATCTGGAACTGGTTTGGATTCAAAAAGTCTGATACGGAGCAGAAAGTCGTATTATGCAAAGTTTGCAGACAACCTGTGACGACAAAGGACAGCAACACTACAAATTTATTTCACCACCTAAAACACAAACACAAACCGGAATATGAAGCTAGTCAGAAGATGCGCTGCGATGCAGCAGAAGCCTCGACGAAAACCTCTTTTAAGAAACCAACTTCAACTCAAACAAAACTTGCCGACGCGTTTTCTCATTCCACACCGTATGATAGCCAAAGCAAGCGATGGAAAGAGTTAACAGAGGCCGTTGCGTTTTGCCTGGCTAAAGATATGTTGCCGCTTCAATCTGTGGAGAAGGAGGGTTTCAGGCGTATGGTCCACAAAATGGACACTCGATATAAGATGCCTTCACGGAAATATTTTTCCAAGACAGCCTTGCCTAAGATGTATGACGAGTGCCGTGATGGGCTACAAGCGAAGCTATCAACAGTGACGTTTTTTGCTTCAACCACAGACATGTGGAGCAGCCGAGCGACTGAGCCATACATCAGTCTTACGGTGCACTACATAACGGATGACTGGAGTTTAAATAGCAACTGCCTACAGACGAGTTTTTTCCCGGAGGACCACACGGGTGAAAATATTGCGAGTGGTTTGAAACAATTTTTACAAGAATGGAAACTTGACGAGGCCAAACAGGTGTGCGTGACCACGGACAGTGGGGCCAACGTTGTCAAGGCAGTCGCGTTGAACAAGTGGACAAGGCTGTCCTGCTTCGGACATAATCTGCACATTGCTGTTGGTGAGTAAATGTCGTAATGTCTCCTTTCTTCTTATTTCTGAGTGTTTTAATTTGTGTGCTTGCATTATTTTTATTCAACAGTACTACTTGCAATTAATTGCGTTTAAGGTCACAGCTTATGTTTTCTATCGATTCTTTTTTTTTTTTCATTCTTCCTGCGCACTCCAAAGTTCTAATCTAGTCTTGGCATCTACCGTTGCTACACAACAGCAAGATGAGAGGTTTAACAAAGCCTCTGTTAAGAGCATTTTTGCTGAAGCTAAAAGTTTCTTTTAACCTGTGTCCTCATGAGCAGAATTTCATTGCACTGGGACGCTGGTACATATGGAGGACCAACTCTGCCATATTTAAAAATAAATACAGAAATAAATGCTCAATAAATATATAAGCATACAATTAATTGCCAACAAAAACACAATCAACAAATAAATATAAGTAGAAATTAAATTATACAGTGAGACATAACTGTATATAACTCTTTTAATTAGCTTCTTTATTTATTTGCCTTTGTAATATTTACCTTATTTATTTTTTTGTCCTTTTTTTTTTTTTTTACATTTCTGCCTGCCCTTTTTACATTTCTTTTTACAATCGTGATGTGTAATATTACCATGTTTAACAACATATCGCCCAATCAGACATTAGGAAATCAATCTACTGACAGACATGATTAATATCTCACCATTCTGGAAGCATGTATGAATTATCATTCATTGTTTTGGTTTTTGTGTGTGTGTTTTCCCCCAGAGAGAAGCATGAGGGACAGCAGGATTGACAGAGCTGTGGGAGTCAGCAAGAAGATAGTCAGCTTGTTTTCACATAGCTGGAAAAGGCAACGTGCTCTTAAAGCTGCACAAGAGGAGCTTGGACTTCCTCAACATAAACTGGTGACCGAATCTCCAACACGATGGGGCTCCAGGCAGAGGATGATTCAGCGGCTTCTTGAACAAGAAAAGGCCATCACACAAGTCCTGGCTGCTGAATGGTCAACCAGGCATCTGGTGCTGAAGTGGCAAGATGTTGACGTTCTTGATGCTGTCAGCAAGGCATTAGGACCTCTGCTTGATTTCACAGATGCCCTCTCCTCAGAGAGTTATGTGACAGTGTCATGCCTGAAGCCTATTCTTCACCTTTTCAGTAGCAAGCTTCTACAGGAGAAGGATGAAGATTCTGATCTCACCAAAACCATCAAAAAGTCAGTACTGGACTATCTGACAACAAAATACAGTGACCCAGATGTTGTGGAGCTGATCAACATGGCATCATTTCTGGATCCACGCTTTCGTACACAGCACCTAAGTCAGGAAGAGATCCAGGTCATCAAAGCCAAAGTGGTCACAGAGGGGGAACCTGTGTCTGCCACGCCAAGTGGCCCTGCTGAAACATGCCAGGGTCAAGAAACTGAGGACAAACAACAGAGGAAGAAACAGAGGAAGAGTCTGGGAAGCTTTCTGAAAAAAGCAGCTGCTGCTGAAGTCTCCACCAGTGTCCCTTACAGTGACAGAGTTGAGGCCGAACTAAGCAGTTATTTATTTGGACAACTGGCAGACAGTGAGAGTGATCCACTTGCATGGTGGAAAGTGCATGAGGTGAATTTCCCTCTGATGAGTCAGTTAGCAAAGAAGTACCTGTGCATCCCTGCAACAAGTACAGCCTCAGAAAGGGTCTTCAGTGCTGGAGGTAATGTGGTAACTTGCCAGCGATCTCTTCTGAAACCAGCCACAGTTGATATGCTGGTCTTTCTAACCAAAAATCTAAAGGTGTAAGGCACATACAGATGCTCCCGTCAGCCTTATTTATACACTGTTGCACAGAGAGGTATTTCAGTTTTTATATTCTTTTTAAGTTTATTTAAATTATTTATTTTTATTTCATTGTTTAGCATGCTGACGATGCTGCTAGTCTTATTTTTAAATTTTTGCACAAAGTATTTCAAGTTTTACATGTTTGTTGGAATTTATTGACCTTTTTTCTATTTTAGTATTTAGATTTTTCAGTGTTTTCCCTTTATTTATCCTGCCATTTGCACATTTTTTAGTTTTAATTTTCAGTGAAATACTTTTAAGTTCTGTTTCTCAATTTATCAGGTTGTATTTACAGTTGCACTACTTTGAAACTTTTACAAGCCAAGTTGTATTTGCTGTGTAGCATTTAAATAAATGTGAAATTTGTTCTCATATTTCAGGCTTGTTTGATTGGTTTGATATATTAGGCTGATATTGTGTTTTTGTTTTGTTTTTTATCGTCACTTATCGTTATCGTGGTAAAACCTAGAAATTATCGTGATAAATTTTTTAGTCCATATCGCCCATCCCTATCTGACACCCTCGCCTCCAAAGCTACAAAAATACTACACTTATTACACATCCCATTATCACTAAAGGAGGCAGAGGAATAACTGAACATCTGACACAGAGAGCAGGAGAGAGGAGAGGAAGAAGGAAGAGTTGGAAAAGAATCAAGGGAGGGAGAGAGAGAAGCCATAGCAATGCTAAGCTAGCGCTAGCCTAGGCTAGCTACTCCTTGCTATCAGAAATAAAACCGTGTGAAACTGACAAGTGCTCAGTAGAAAAGTGCAGCAGAAGGCGCTATGTTTTAAAGTAGTCAGTTAGAGTTACTTAGATACAGAGATATCACAGAGAAAATAACTTAACTTCAGATGGAGATCCTCTGAACAGCTGCACACTCAGTTAATCCAAACAGGAAGTGAACAGGTCCAAACAGGAAGCAGCGAACAGAAAATATACAGTTGCTGAAAAGTCTGTAATGATATCTGAAGAGAACAGGCGTTTTAACGTGCGTGTGCTATATTTAGTTTTTCTGAACGGTACAATACAACTGCAGTACTCAGAAGACACAGCAGATGGCAGCATAACAGCTTCTCCATTAAAGGAATAGTACACCCAAAACATGATTAGCCTTCATTTTCTACTCACCCCCATGCTGAACAACACTCTGGAGTACTTTTTTGATATCTCAAATGCATCTGGAGATCTGGGAGGCTTCTTGCTGTCTGCTGACATTCAAATAATGGAGGTCTATGGCGCCAGAGGCAGAAAGGTCCATAAAAGTCCACAAAAAACGTGTCAATATTCCTCCATACTGCTCGTCCAATGTATTCCAAGTGTCCTGAGTGGGTAGTAGGGCTGGGCGATAATTCAATAACGATATATATCGATCGATAGACGTGTGGCGCAATAGAAAAAAAGAGGGTCGATAAAAGTTCGATAAAAAAGAAACGCAGTTTTCCTTCCTTGTCATTGTAGCCTAGCATGTAGGTTTATGCTAGTCGCTGCTTCCTCCCAACCAATTACAATTGCGGACCCAGGCACGCCGTCACCAAGCGCCGCCCTCTCAAACCACAACACAGAGCACATGAAGATGCAGCAAGGAGAGGCGGAGGAAACTGTTACAAAGAAGGGTTTTTGTAGTTCGGCAGTCTGGCAGTATTTCGGTCATGGCAAGTCGGAGCAAAAACAAACCACAGTCATCTGGGAAATGTGTCGGGAACCAGTGAAAACCAAGTCTGATAACACAACCAACTTTTTTTCTTTTTTTTTTTTTTATCATCTCAGCCGCTCACACCCGCAGGAGTACGGGCTGTGTACTGTAGGCCCCGGTGCGGCTCTCCTCCGAGGAATCTTCGGAAAATATATATATATTTTCAGTTCTGGGCAGTTTCCCACGTAGCTCTAACAATTGAGATAAAAATGCTGAGGGGCCAGAAACTTCAAAGTAATAACTCAGGTTAAAGCAGGAAACGGGTGCGGCAGCGGCGGCGGTGGGGGGGCATTTATTTATTTGTTATATTTATTTTGGTCACTTTTCTGGTCACTTTAGTTTATTCTTTGTCAGTATTTAATAACATAACTCAGGTCTCCTAAGTTATTTTTCTTTAAAACAATTCTGTTATGGTTAAAAAAGTTGGTTAAATAAAGATTTAATTTGATGTCTGTGTTTGTGTTTTTTATTAAAATTAAATCATTTAGCAATATTATAAAAAGTCCAGGCAGAGCTGCACATAAAATATGGTTTCAAATCTTTTCAATAATTATCGATATCGATCAATATGCATTTTTTTTTTATCGATAAGCTTTTTTTCTATATCGCCCAGCCCTAGTGGGTAGCATCCAGAATTTACTCGAAACGAAGTCATTTAGAATGTTTTTAGAGCATAAACAGTAGTGTATAGGATTTCCTGAAAGCGCGCACATGCGCGTTCACGACACTACGGAAGCCGGCAGACCAAACCAGACGAAAGTGCGCATTCAGCGTCTGCTCTTCCAATAATGCAAGCGTAGAAGAAGAAATGTGCCGTTTACCTGTGCAAAGAAAGAAACAACGAAAGAAAAATGTCTGAGGACTTCAGTGTTGAGGAAGAGCATGAGTTCTTTGCCGAGCTGAATGCGCTGGTTTGGTCTGCCGGCTTCCGTAGCGTCGTGATCGCGCATGTGCGCGCTTTCAGGAAATCCTATACACTACTGTTTATGCTCTAAAAACATTCTAAATGACTTTGTTTCGAGTAAATCCTGGATACTACCCACTCAGGACACTTGGAATACATTGGACGAGCAGTATGGAGGAATATTGACACGTTTTTTTGTGGACTTTTATGGACCTTTCTGCCTCGGGCGCCATAGACCTCCATTATTTGAATGTCAGCAGACAGCAAGAAGCCTCCCAGATCTCCAGATGCATTTGAGATATCAAAAAAGTACTCCAGAGTGTTGTTCAGCATGGGGGTGAGTAGAAAATGAAGGCTAATCATGTTTTGGGTGTACTATTCCTTTAATAACCATTGAACAAAAAACTTCATATTTCAACAACATCCATATGACATTAACATGTTAGTATGGTACAAATCCCTGTTGAATGTTTTTGACACTTTAAAGACAAAAGAGGGTTAAAATCAACACTAGTTGAATGTCTGTCGGCTGTGGAGATACTCCCATCACCAACTGCTCTGTCTACAGAGATGAGAGGAAAGAAAAAAAACTCACAGCTTTGGGACGGAAACGGCGGCTTAAAAAAAAGACACAATTTAAACGCTTGTCATAAAAGCATCAGCAAAATAGTTAATGTAGTTCCTTTTTGATAAAAAAATCAGCATCTGACTACTAACTCTCCACGCCCAGACTGTCGTGTTCCTGGGCACAAGGATTCAAGTGGCCAGTTCTACAGTAACTCAACACGTTTCGCCCCACACTTACAATAAGGCTCGGGCACAGCGCGTTGCATTCTGGGTACGCCGCCATATTGGTAGCTAGTTGCTACGGTAAACAAAGACCTAAAACAGCATAGAGACAGAGCAGAAAGACGAGTAAACAGCGATGTTAAAAGCGAAGAAAGGATGCGGAATATACCGAGACACACTGCAGAGGGAAGCCAGGGACCGTTATCTGCAAAAGATGGGCTTCATAAACGGACTTGATCCCTACGAAGTAGAAAGCAAGGAGTGGTGCGTTGGGGAAGAATTTCTACCGCCGTTTGCGAGGGAGGACGTATTTTCGTATCTAGTGTGTGGCGTCAGTGCCTACACACATGAAGAGTTTCGCTGCTACAAGTCGCTAGAGGCTTACAAACAGCTGACAGATGGAAAAGTTCATGACATGGAAGTTATCAAGCCGAATGAGAACACAGTCATCAGAGCCAAGGTAAGCTACCATCTCAACATGGTGTGGTGTTTGTTGTGGTGATAAGACTAGGTGCTGGCACTAACGTAAAACATCAAAAATGTATCTAAATAAATCTTGTGCTGACTGTACGTGTCCAGGGATAATGTAGTTACATTCTGATGATATATGACTGTCCTAGCATGGTACTACCACGCAGGGGCGGAGATAGATGAATAAAAACAGTATGTTCTGTAACTTACCAGAATGAAAATGCCGGGAACACACTCTCATGGACACAGGGATTGAGTTGAAAGTTATATTTGGCCGTCTTACAGCAGCGACCCATGCTAGCCGGCGACTCTTTGTTATGGAGGACATTTGTTTTCCATAGAGACGCCTCCAGGTTGGAAAACGGTAAAAAGACAATCCATTTGGGATTTTTTTCCCCGTCCAGTCACAGCTTGCGCTACTACACCCTACGACACAGCAACAGGCGACCATAACGACAGCAGAGGTAAAATGAAACGGCAAAAAACTAAGCAAACTACTAGCAGAAGAAAGCTAGTCCTTACAGGCGCGAAGTCAAAGTGTAAACAGTGGGCTGACCAGCTATCAATATGGCTGCCGCGCAACGTGTGACGTCATGTGCCCGAGCCTTATAACTCGCCATTTTCCACCATTGACCTTGTGTTCAACCCTCCAGCAATTCCTGCTTATCCTTTCACAATAAAAAACTGTAATAAACAGCTTACCTACAAGGCAAAATGACCCATTAAGAGTAAAATCTGCTGTCCCACGATGGGCGAAAATGGACTGTGGTCTGGTTCCTTTGAACGCAGCGGTACCAGCAAAGGTTTCACTCCAGCAGGTCTCTTCTGTTCCCATCAGTGTAACAGACCCGGGCTTCGGGCCTGATGGGCAGATTTAATGTTCCTGTAAAACAGGAGAATAAATGAGACAAGCGACGGGTGAAGTTTCTCCATGCTTCGCTTCTGCCGTATTTATTAATACAATTACATGTATCATAAATACAAATCATCACTAGTGATTCTCACATGTGAAATATGCAATAAATCATCCTTCCTGTACAGTAACTTTTTTCATTTGACTTTCATCACAAGCATCCTTTTACATTAACAAAAATGCACATA